TATATATATATATATATATATATATATATATATATATATATATATATATATATATATATATATATATATAGTTGTGTTCATATGGTTTTTACATTAACAAAAATATATTAACAAAAAAATAAAGAATTTTTTATTTTGTAACTCCCAATTAATTAATTATATGGGAGTTACATAAATTTTTTTACCTAAATATTTCAACTTTGTTCACTTTTTTTTATGAAATTTTAAATTTAAAAAAATAAGTTTTTGTCATAATTAGTCACTACCGTTTATTAAAAGATTGAATGGCTAAGATCGATTAACAAAGTTAACATAAAAACTTTGGTTAACATTTGAACTTGACCTTTTATATATATATATATATATATATATATATATATATTACTTATGTTGATGATTCCAATGCTTAACCAAACATCACATTAATAAATTCTATTCTTTGTTTGCCATTATTAAATGCAATAAACATTTTTTGAATTTTATTTATTTTTATATAAAATAAATGATTTTTCATACCGATCATGTTTTAAAATATCACAAGTTTCATTTTGACAAATTATAAATGCAATTGTTTTGAAACGTGATTAATTTTATAATTACAAATTATTCATATTTTAAATAATTTTGTTAAGATGTAGAATTTGAAATATTTGACATTATAAAAAATCTTTCAAGTATTAAAATATTATAAAAAATGGTTCATTTTTATTATGCGAAATATTTGGGATAATAAAAATCGACCACTTTTTTTATAATATTTTAAAATATTATAACTAATTTATTTTTTGAATTTTTTTTATTTTTTTTATAATCATACAATAAAAAGAGTATTTAAATTTAACGTGAAAAAAAAATAAAATAAAAATAGTACATTTTATTTCCAAATAAAACAAAGAGTAAACTACAAGTTTGGTCCATGTGGTTTGTTAGATACAACATTTTTCGTCCTTACAAGTTCAAAAATTCAAAATGGTCATCATGATATGCAAAAGCGTCCCCTCATTTTAACAGTCATTAAAAAATCCTCTTAAATGAGGGATACTTTAGTCTTTTTACATTTTAATCATGTTTCTTTAAGAAATAAACTCTAGTTTATTATATGTTAATATACATTAGTTATATAATATAAGAAATACACATACATATAGACTTGGGATCATGTGAGATCAAGGGTTTTTCGTGAGACCCGTAAGATTAATTCTCAACCATTGGATTAGATCTACAATCTGAACATTCATAATCACAAAATTGCAATGAGACTTCTCAATAATCACAAAATTTTCACTGTGCAACTTTAGACCATTAGATCTTTAGCTTATAAAGTTGATCAATGAACATAAATTAGTCTTACGGATCTCACGAAAAACCTTTGGTCTCACGTGAACCTAATTCCCTTCTCACACACACTTTATATATATATATATATATATATATATATATATATATATATATATATATATACTTACAAAGAACGCATACATGTCACAGATTTCCGATTTCCACTTAGGCATGGAAATGAAACTCGTCCTGTTATGGAACCCAGTGTACCCGCCCCCACAGGGATGGGAATTCTCTGCAAAACCGGGGATCGATGATATGGATGGAGATCCCTGAAAGTTAAAAACCAGGTATGGGGACAGGGACGGGTAACATGGTCTCTGCCCCGCCTCATCCCGAATATTAAATATATTATTTATAAAATATTAGATTTAAAATCTTTTAGATTTAGAAATAGTATTTTGGCAATTCTTCTTATATACATTTTTTCCGAGTCGTTTTACTTTCTTTTAGATACAAAGAAAACGTTGAAAGTCGAAAGCATTAGATCAAAGGATTACGTATAATATTGTGATTTTGTTCACAAATAAGATTTGATATTATATAAAAGAAGATTTTGAAAATATGTGAGATTTAAACATAGATCATTAGTGATCAAGTGTGGTGTTTAATTCATTGGATTTAAAATATCTTATATTAACGGGGAAAAAATCCTCAATTCCCCGTTGGGAATCCTCGTTCCCCATTGGAGACGCAGATGGGATGTGAAGATATTCCTCGGTAGGGACAGGCACGAAGGGATCGGAGACGGGGATGGGGATCGGAGGCGGGTCCATACCTGTTCCCAGTTCTGCATATCTTTCTGCCACGGCCATTGACTTCTAGTTCTATCTCCTTCAGCTACTAACCACTACCATCCACCTCCTCCGGCTTCCACCACTACCATCCACCTCCTCCGGCTTCCACCACTACCATCCACCTCCTCTGGCTCCGCTTACTCCCGACTTCCTCTGCACCATCACCAATTGCCCGTTGGTTCTAAAAGAAGGCATCAAAGAAATCTAGCGACCAAAATGCACAATATGAGACCTACTCCCCAATTTGCCGTTCCGATGTACTAACACAGGGACCAAAACTATAACTGCCAAACCATAGAGACCAAATTTATAGTTTACTCAAACAAATTATAAATTGTTTCCTTTTTTATTTACTTTTGTTTCAAAATCAGAAATTTCAATTAAATTGCAAAGTGACCCAAAAATGTTATATTGCAGCGATCTTCAACAATCACATTAGCTTTTGTAGGTAGTCGATGATATTGTTTTATGACCAAAAATAGAACTTTTTTCCTATCCTAAATTAAATAACATTTTTATTTTTGTGTTTTAAAATAAGTGTCTACTATCTGTCTCTCTGACGTATAACTTAGTTGATAAAAAAGTGATTATTAATTTACCCAGATACAAGACATGTCTTGGGTTCAATCATAGTTTGCTGCTACCCTCAAAGCCAAAAATTGTCCCCTCACATCAGTATCATCTGGAAGCAGGTTTCGTGTGGTACCGTTTGGGGTCATCAGTAATCTATTTTCCAATTCTTTTCTTAACTATTAGATGAGAAATTTGCTCCTCTGTGTGTGTGTGTTATATTAAGGTTAAATTTGACATTTATCTATACTATCTTATTAAACAAATTTAACAAAAGTCTTAAAATCTTAAAATTCTAAATAACCAAAATACCATTTATACTCACTTTTTCACTTCTCACCCCCTCCTCTCCTCACATACACTCACCCTCTCACAATGGATTTTTTTTAAATTATAATTTTAGATCTACACTTTATATCCCTATAATTAATTAATTAATTTACTTTACGTCCTTTACTTTTAACTATTTCATTTTAAACCTTTTATCAAATTAACATACATAATCGTATATCAATTAAAAGATGTTTAAAAAATACATTTTTATTTTAACAAGTTACACCATTATAATCGTGTCGTTAATACCTTCGAAATGAGTCCAATATTGAATAGTTTTTGACTTAATTATATTATTATATATTATATATACTGTAAAAAATATTTTTAATATTTACGATTTATACTTTTATARTTATTTATTTATATATATACTATATATTTTTGGAGTTAGGCTGTCCAAATTGCACTGTATAATATGTTTTGAATTAATATATTCTTGGGTTTTTTTGAAATATATATATATATATATATATATATATATATATATATATATATATATACACATGTATTAATTCAACCTTAATCTGAGTTTCTGGACAAGAAAGAGGGTAAGCAGTTGAAATTTCATTCTAAAACCCATCTTTTTTTTTCTTTTCATGGCTTATGATCTGTCAAATTTGTAGGTTTCTTTATTGATTTTGAGTGTTTATCTTAAAACTCAAATTTCTTGGTTCTTTGCTTTTGGTGTAAATCGAATACATTTGTGGAGTCGTTTAAATATGTTGGATTTTAAATATATTGGATTTTAAACTGTCATACAATTTTTTTCATCGATAGTCTGTAATTGGAACCATAACTCTTATTTATTCAAATTGTATTAATATGTAAAGACCAAGTGTAACTTATATCATCGCTAAATCTTATCTTATAAAACCAGTGGAACTTCAAAATCGTTAAAATTCATGGCTCCCGCCGCATTGCACGGGTACATATCTAGTTTAACTAAAAGTGTAAAAATTACACAGTTCTCAAGTATTTGTTTCTTTTCATCAAATACAGTTATTTTGAGACAGAGTTGGTATAATTTTTGAAAATAGAAACTTAAATGAGCCATGCCTCAATTTATCCAATTTGACGTATAGCTTACTGTAAAAAAAAATTGTACGATTATTTCCGAAGGAACTGGTATGGGTCTACGGTAGGTATAACATAATGCTACATCGTTTCGTGATTTTCTTTATCAAAAATGACGTAATTGTATGATGTACAAACATATGTTTCTAGCGGAGTAATAAATCTATCCAATCATTTTCCGATTTAATCCTAAGCAAAGACAACAAATTTATAATTTGGTAAATTCAAGTTCGAAAAAGATAAAATTGTTGTCATCTGTTTATGATTGCACTGTAAAAACGAATAAAATAATACACGAATTTAATATTTTTATTCTATTACTGACAAGTATCAATCAGTCAATACTTTGACTATTATTACCATCAAGTGGATTTGTTACAATTATATCAAATACCTGTCCCGTCTCTTTTGTCCTATTTTGTCCTTCCATGAGCCTAACGAGTTGAATTATTTTCAGGAGAAAACCATGTAAAGTCAGATGAAAACGACGAAGGTTTTATGATCGACAGTTCAATCTAATTGGATGGGTCCAGTGTCGAAAGGCCGACATAATAATGTTCTTAGTTCATTCAAATCAAAAACATCATTTATTGTATTCATTTTTTTTTGTGAATTCTATAAAAACCAACCTGATCAAACCCATTATATTATTCCCATAAGTAAGGTACGGAAGGAAAAACACAAGCAACCCTTTTATCCGTCTCAAGAGAATGTTGTTTCCAAGAAAACCCTCACGATTGCAATCTTTCTACGTTTAATAGATCTAAAAAACCAAACAAACTCGATAAATCCATGTAGATGTAGCGTATGTGCGGTAAGACGTACGCAGACATTTTTCGTACACAGTGACAGTGCAAAACAACATGGACAGTGACAAAAACACTGGTAGAAAAGAAAATCCAAGCTTTTCTAAGTGGGTAATTAAGAATAATCACATTTAAAAGCAAAGAATCAACAACATACATGGCCTTGATCAAAAGTTTTTTAAGGGAAATCAAACCAAATACAAAAAAAAGATGAATATGAAGACAAAAGACGAATATAAATAATTCAACGTTTAATATGCCCGCCTTAATTAATTTCTCGCAAAAACGATTACTTGTACACATAACATATGCAGTTTTGCCTTCGTCAAGCCCTGCAATCTCCATCGCCTCCTGCATCACCAAATCAAGAAATCATTCGTCAATCCGTAAATCCAATACATATACATATATATAGCTAACGCAAAATGCTACAACGTCAACCAATTGAATGTAGGGAACGAGAAGCTAAAAAGTTATAATTTAACCATCATTGTTGGAGTCTCACATCACATCAGCTTAAAATTTACCAACTTACAGATCTTATATAATTCATTCATCTTTAAATAAATGTTGTACTTTCGACAACCGATTGATCTCCACAAAAACAGAAAATTCATATGGGTTCAAGGATGAGAATGCATGACACCAGAAGAAGAAAATCAAGATCTTCAAGAAGGGTATATGGAGACATTTGATGAGGAGAGCCTATTAAGGCTAAAACCTATACTGAAGATCTGAATGAGGGTAGGTTTTACTTTGTGATGAATTAGAACCCAAAGATTGAATGTCTGAATGAGTTGTGCAACTCCAATTCCAATGTTTCTTGGTGACACAAGTTTCAAGCTGCCATCTTGTTTTATTTCCTTCATTCCCTTTTAACTATACCTCTAAAAAATGGAATCATTAATTTCTTGAATTGGGAATTACCAGATCGGCTAAATAGGTTTGAAGTGTTTTTTCCTAATCTATATCTCGGAACCTCTACTTCTTTTATCAAGGGCTTTTTGAAGAGTAATCTAATGGGTTTCACATGTTTTATCATGGTATCAGAGCCAATTTCTACCATTCTAAAGACTTGCCATTCTACCATGCTCTAGCCACGAATCTGATAAGAACGCAAACCGAACTCTTATGGTATTTACTAATAAACGAAAAAAAAACAAGGATGGTGTCTACAATTCGAGAAGTAGGTGATCTCCCAAGACTAGACTCGATTTTTCCTTCCCCAAAACCTTAAACTCTAACCACCTATAATTACTCAAGATTCCCGATTAACCCTATCATAGTTAAAACCCCAACTCAATAAACACCCAAAACCAAAATCAAAACCTTAATTCAAGAATTCTTGTACCTTTTTCAGTGACAAAGTTCCTGGTGTTCTTGATAATACCTTTTCAACGTAATATCTTAAACAATAACTAACATGTTAGTTGAAACAACTGTCACTATATATCTAAAAGACAATTTATACCCTTTCCATATACTTTAACTAATAGTGTCAATTAGGTTACTGAACACATATCTATGCACCTTATCCACCTAGTAAGCTTATTGGATTGAATTATGCTTATGAAATTGTTAGCTAGAAAGTGTAGCAAACTAGGGCTAGAGTAGTCGCAAGGAAGGGAGCTCGAGAGGTAGAGCGGGAGCTAAGTTCACATATTTCACAAGCCACTCTGTTTTTTAGGGTAGAGCTCAGGGGCGCATACATTTAGAGTACTCTTCAAAATTAAATATTGAATAAGAGAAATGATTTTTTATTTTTCAACAATGTACTTGAATATGATATCATTTCACATAATCTATTGAATATTTTTTATAACAATTAATACTGAAATTTCCAACATGGAGAAAGTGTTAGAATTGAATGTATTTTTTTTAAAGATTTTAACTTTTGCTCTTCCCCATTTTGGAAAAAATTATAGAAAATCTGTTAGAAATGCTCTAAGAATGGATTATTATCTTCTTCTATGGACTGTTTCTAAGACCTTGGTACATTAGGGGTAACGGTAGTCTATGCACCAAGATAGGACTTCTCTTATGGCCAATGGTAGGAACATGGTCGCAAATGGTTCTGTAGCATGTTTAAGGCTCGATTGTTGATAGACCTAAGGAAAACACTACAAGGAGACTGATAATTCATTGGCTAAAGAAACTCGTTTCGTTTAATTGAGTCATCATCATTTTATATCACGTTTCATAAGAAGTGGAATGCCTCGTTCTATTCCTAAGTGTCAACCGAATACAGTTTTCTTATTAAACTATACGACATGGGACAGAACAAAAACAAGAACTTGTAGTCCAACCTTTAACATGACATTAAACTATACAGCATGGGCCTGAGTCAGACAATAATGCAACTAGAGATATCGAACAAATTTGGAAAAATACTAAACTACAAACGTCAAATTAAAATCCAGCAACCTTTCGACAATTCTTTCACTCACCTACCTCATTATCACCCATCATGTCCAGTATCAAGCGCACCTTTATGGAAAAGGGAGTGTGAACGTGTGGGAAAACATGCAAATATCAAATATTCATAACTTTTCATATGAAATGACTTATGAAGCTCACAATAATCTCGAAGAAAGGCTTCAACACGCTGAATGACGAGACAAAGGGCCTTTGGCAGTTTGGGTCTACTGTCGGTTCAAGATCCCATCCTTCGAGGCCTTAGTATCGAATTTCTAATGCTCATATCATTTTCATTGTTCTCCATTTGCATTTATTCTCCATCAATAATTTCCTTGAACATTACTTTACTATTGTACTCGAACATTAGCATGAGTGTGTACCCATTATTCATAAATTGAAGGGATTCGAACCATAGGCGGATTCACATAGCACATCATGCATACATACCCAAAAATCTAAAAACGATGCTTTGCTTACTCTTGTATCTCTCTTCAACGGTTCTTTTCTCTATCACGTTGAATCCCTAGTACTACGTACAAAACTAGGTTCATATGAGTGTATGTATTCTCTCTTTATTTTTATAGTCGTAGCTCTAGAACATATTATGCAAGATTCCTACAATAGTTAGATTTTTAGTTTGAATATACAGTATTTTGTTGTCATTCTAAAAAATTTAATGTTACTCATCAACCTTTAATAATGTTTCTTATGACCATCTCCAACCTAGCGACAAAGTAAAAATCAAACTGGTGGGCACAGTAGCAACAAAAACTGCTTCAACTCCAACCACATGTCATATATGTCGTTTGAACCTAGCCAAGGCATATATGTCATTTCTCTCCCATATCTAGCATTTAGTCGTTCTTTTTGAAGTATGGTTGGAGCACCCTTCCCCATGTTAGTGCTTTGGCGTACGATTGGAGTACAGTTGGAGCTGCCCTAAAAGCCAAAATTCATTAAGTTGCGACGACGTTGTCTTAATTCCCATTTAATGTAAACGATGGTTTTTGCTCACATTTTTTTTTAACAAAAACGTTAAATTCTTCTTATTTTGTTCCCATTTTCACTCGTAACCGGTGAATCTTTTAACTATTGATTACATGAATGTCAACTTATACTCTAATTCTTGATTAGATAAATACAAACTAAGAACAATTGACTCTGTGTAATACTAATTCAGGAAAGAAAAAGTTATAATTACATAATTTTATTTGGGAAATTGCCCAAAATATCCAAATGGCTCCCCTTCATTCACTTTCTTTCTAGTCCACTCTTTTTCGATTATCCAAAATAGCCAAGATTTTTCAAATGTCTATTTCATACCCACAACTTAGGTTATAAAATAATCCGAGATAAGCAAGTTTACAAGCAACCAAAGACGTTTCGTAAGCCACTAAGAATTTTTCCTAAGACAACCATATTTAATTCAAAAAAATACATTTCATAAGTTACGAAATGAACACTTACAAAATCTTAGATTATATTAATGACACCAAAAAAAAATTAATATTTCTCATTTTATTTTGGGAAGGAGATGTGGGTTTGGTCTATAAAGAAAGGAAGAGCCGTACGTGCATGGGTTTAACCTAAAAGCAATCTTGGTTAATGGTTAGGGCCCACCCCAGCCATGAAACCCTAGCTAGGTGGTGTGGTGCGTGCCATTTTCCCATTGCTCGAGAATCCTTAGGTAGGTGTAGGTGTGGTTGAGCCCAGCAACAAAAGATGAATTTGGGTTTCAGTGAAACACCATTGTCATTGGTTACCTATTTATAAAACAAAACCTAATAAGGATTTTATTTAAGGAAACTGTCGGACTTAATCAATATGGGTTCCTTTAATCTCAGTGGTTAACACCTGTCTTTCCCATTAGACATGCTTGATCTTAAGGAAACCAAAAACAACCCATCATATCATTCTTTAAAAAATCACATTTTTAAACCCAATATTATAATCTTTTTAGCCGAGAATCTTGATCTTTTACACAGAAAATCTTTCCTTTTTTTGGTCCAGATCTTTCTAATTTCGATAAATTATAACCGTAAAATATCAGTTCTTCTGTAAAACTCTTTGTATAACTGGAATCGAACCCACTATGGTAGGTTACGGATTGAGAAACCTATCTTGATGTGTTTTAATCTTTTCTAGTTGGATCCTATATGCTAAATAGGGGTTCTTGAATCTTGAAGAACATTGTTGATTTTAGAAGATGGTGATCTTGATTTCTTGATTAATGTAAGCAATTGGGACTAATATTTGGGTGCAAAAAGAACAGAAATGAAAGGATATAATGTAAGTTAAATTTGGAAAAGAATTAATTACCATAGATGAAGATGGAGGAAGTGGAATTAGTTCTTGGATTTTTCTTTGCGATGATCAGAGTGGCGGCCTCCATCTGCTCCGCCGTATAGTTGCAGACGTTGAGAGTCGTAGCCGGTGGCTGGGAAATGCTCCGGTGTGGTGGAGCCGATGGTTGGCGCAATAAAGAAAGGAAAGTTTGTGGAAGTGGATCCATCCACCATTGATGAGGACTGAAACCTCTGAAGATGATGATGATGATGAAGATGATGAGGTAAAACAGATAATAAATTGGACTGAAGGGTCCCCCTATTGAAACCCGGAGCAAGACCACCACCGGAAGATGATGATGCAATGGAGAAATTTAAGTTGTAACTTTCTCCACCAACACCGCCGCCGGAGGTGGTGGTCGCAACCGGTGCAAAGTTCTCTTGAAGGAAAGAAAAATGGTGCTGCGGGTGGTTTTCTCCGGCGGTGATGTTGAATTGTGGCATTTGGATTATTTGGGGTGAAGACGACGGTGGTGGTCGGCTGAAGAAGTAATCCATCGGAGTTGTCCAGTGGATTCTGGATTCTGGACTGGCTGCCGGATTTGAATTGTTGTTGGGACTGACGGTGGCGCTGCTAATGCCGCCGGTGAGGAGATCGGTAAACGATGAGTTCTGTGAAATACCATTAACCCTAGTGGGAATATCACTCTCTTTCTCCTTCTCTTTCTTCGCCGCCATTTCTCGAGCTCGTTCTCGAGCTTTGATCCGATTTTCCGATCGAGATAACGAAAGTCCAGACCCTTTACTGGTCTCCGATGTGCTACTGCACGCCGACGATTTCGACACAGAAATATTTTGTTGGTGGGTTTGGTTGTTTGGATCTTCAAATTCCGTATCATTTCCGGTGGATTTCTTGTCGTCGCTGAGCTGCTTCTGGTGGTGATAATGGTGGTTCTGGTTACAGTCGGCACCGGAAAACGACGGATCAAGAGAAGGAAGCTCAGAAATGGAAGTCGACGCCGCCTTGATCAACCACTCCACCGCCTTACTCGGCTGATCATACCCAAGTCGATCTTGAAGATCATAAAACTGGATAGCGGTGGTTACCGACAGCCGTACACGGCGGTCTCTTAACCCTTTTGATGTCAAAACCTTACTGTGTCTATCTTTTCCACCGGAAGCTCTAGAAACCCTAACGATTCTAGACGACGGCCACCCACAAAGCCTCCCAACCCCACCTCCACCAACAACAACCCCACCACCACCACCACCGCCGCCGCCGCCTCCACCACCATCCTCATCCAAATAATGATGATTCACTTTCTGGGTAGCTAATTTATGAGGGTTTGATGAATTATCACTAGTGGCACTACCATTAGAACCGATTCTTTGAAATTTACACACCTGTCTTTGAATTTCATCCACCTCCATACCCCCACTTTCATACCTTTCTTCCACAAATTAACTCCATAAAAATAAAAACAACCCAGATCTCTCTCTCTCTCTCTTACTGTCTTATCCCTTTTTAGAGAGAGAAAATGGTGTAAAATCTAGAGAGAGAAAAAGTCTTGTTTAGAGTAGATGTGGGTGGGCAGTTGTGGTTGGAAGAGCTACTGTATTCGTTGGTGTCTTTTGCATTGATGACTGATTACATTCAGACATACACAGACACAACACATACTACTACTAACTATTACTCCGTGAAACATATAGATAGATATACAAGAGTGAATCTATAGATATATAGATATAGAAGAGTGTATGTATAGATAGATATTAAGGGGGCTTGTATTTGTGGATTTGATGTATCACGTTCTTAACCAAGAAGCAGGCCGGAAAATGTCAGAAGGGAAGCTCCGTTTAAAGCTTATCTTTTTGCAGTGTCATCCAAAAAAGCAAAGCCTGTGAATTTCATCAGATAAGAATTTGTAAGCAGTTAAAAAAAAAACCATTTTTTTAAACCAATAATTGTAAGCACTTGTGGGATTTCAATCCTTTTTTTTATTAGTGAAAAAGATTAATCAAAAGTTTGTGGGTCTTTATTACATGCCCCAAAACCTTCATCATCTACTTTGCTTTTAAACCACTTCAACAAAAGATTTCACTTAATTAATATATACTTTATATATATATATATATATATATATGATATTTAAGTCTAGTCGATATAAGACTCTAAGACAACCCCTTCAACAAAGACCATAATGTCGACTACGGGCTAGATGGGTGAGAGCGTTAGGCGACTACAGATTGTGACAGAGTGTCAAATCCTTAGATTCATAAATCTTGATCTATATTGGCTAGATGGGTGAGACTTAAGAGGGCGAGGCGACTACAGATTGTGACAGAGTGTCAAATCCTTATATTCATNAGACTTAAGAGGGCGAGGCGACTACAGATTGTGACAGAGTGTCAAATCCTTATATTCATAAATCTTGATCTATATTGGCTAGATGGGTGAGACTTGAGAAGGCTAGACGACTACAGATTGTGACACAGTGTCAAATCTTTAGATTGATAAATCTTGATCTTAATTAGCTAGATGGGTGAGAAGGCTAGGCGACTACGGATTGTGGTAGAATGTTAAATCCTTAGAGTGATAAATCTTGATCTATATTGGCTAGATGGGTGAGAGGGCTAGACGACTACATATTGTGACAGAGTGTCAAATCCTTAGATTTATAAATCTTGATCTATATTGGCTAGATGGGTGAGAGGGCTAGGCAGGTACAGATTGTGGCAGAGTGTCAAATCCTTAGATTGATAAATCTTGATCCATATTCTCTTGAATAGCCCTTGAGCGAGAGAAATGAGATTTCAATACACATAGATGAGGAATAGTTCAAGTCTAGTCAATATGGATTCTAACAAATGCAAATTTTTATAATTTGAGTGTACGCACGTGATTTTGAGGGGATTTAATATGTTTGGAAACAAAACTTTGGTATCCGTCTAAAGATTCAAAATCAATACAGTTTGTCTAATTTTTAATAAGACAGATGAAATCTTGAATTTAAATTAGAATCTTATTACGAATCAATTTCATATTTTGTGTAGATTTTCACTACAACGAATGAAGTTAGTGTATGTAACTCCAAAGTATGGTCCAAATAAATAGAACATAGGTAGACTTTTTCTACACAATATTTGTTAAAGAAAATAGAATATTTGATTTAAAATATATTAAATAAAAACGTTTAATTATTAAATATATTTCAAAGTACCCATTAGTGTAGAAAAGAAGAGGAAAAAATTAGCTTTATAGAAAAAGAGAAAAAAGTAAAGAGTAGTTATATATATATATATAGAGAGAGAGAGAGAGAGATGAGTGATCATATGAAAATCGCCTTCATTTGTGTAAACCGTGCAAACCACCTTCATCTGTCGATTTCATTGTTTAATCTTATGAAATTTTTTCATGAAATTGTTTAATCTTGTGAAATTGTTTCATATAATACTTTTTTTGATGAAGTTGTTTCATATATGATTGTGAAATTGTTTCATATAATACTTAATGAAACTGTTTCATGTATTTCTCTAAAATTAAAATAATGAAGATGATAATATCTATGATTAACACCCTCCACAATAAAAATGATTAATCAACCTCTCATAATTACAAAAAAATGAACAAAATGAAAAATTATGATTGGTTGAATACGGTTTGCATGGTTTGTACAAATTGAGTGGTTTGCATTTGATCGCTCCCCTATATATACATATATATAAGAGGGCTATGAGGGCTCTCAGCTACATGGATAGTTCAATGTGCTCATCGTCCTCCTTTTTCCGGACAACACATACAAAGAGACCCGCCAACAGTCAAATAATTAGTGCCTTTTTATTTCTCATCAAACGAATGGGGAACGGATTCACCGCCGTAAGGCTGACGGGCGATTACCTATGAATAATTATCTAGGAAAAAGTTGATACTTCCACATATTATGGGTAACGTAGGAGATTTCATTCTTGAACAAAAATCCATTTTTTCAGCCCTCTTATATATATATATATATATATAGAGAGAGAGAGAGAGAGAGAGAGAGATTTGGGATCATGTGAGACCAAAGGTTTTTTGTGAGACCCGTAAGACCAATTCTCAACCCTTGGATAGATTTACAATCTGACAATGTGAACATTCATAAACGCTACGAGACTTCTCAATAATCACAAAATTGCTACCGTACAACTTTAGACCATTAGATCATTAGTTTATAACGTTTATCAATAAACATAAATTGGTCTTATGGGTCTCACGAAAAACCTTTGGTCTCACGTGAACACAACCCTAGATAGATATATATGTATATACTTATACATATAACTTATTAAAAATGATGAAACGAAAAGACAGGGTCAAATCATATTTGATTGTACATGTGATTTACTAAACATCAAAAAAGAGGCGGGGAACCGTCAATACAACTAAGGTCATGTAAAAACTCGTCTTTGTAATGGCTGGTCATCGCGATCTTTTTGAATATGTTGTGATATAATAAAAAATCACTTTTGATTTGGTCTTTCTCACAGTTCTCGTAATTTGACCGTCTTTTTATTTGAACAAGTTCCTATACACATATCTATACTATATTATAAAGTATTTGACAGAAACTATTAAAAACCATTTTTTATGCATGAACTACTGTTTATTAATGCATATTACTTAAAATTCAAACTTACAAGTAAATTGTGCGTAAGTACAACTTATCAAAACTACATGTTTGAATTCGTGTAACTAAATGTGGATAAACATAATCAAATAGAGGATAAATATATCATTCTAAAATATAAAAAATTTAAATATAATTAGGATAATTATTGAATTCTAACAAAATCATTAATTATTATCTTTATAAAAAAAATTATATTATTAAACCAAATATAAATTAATTCGTTTTTAAATTTTAATTAAATTATAATAAAAATTTGAATCAAAGAAATTACATAAAAATAAGAACTTCTAAGTAGTTAACTTAATACTAATATTACTTATTTTTTTCAAAATTTAATGATATTTTCAAATTTATATTTCATTCAAATACAAAAACATTTTCTTTTTCTCAAAACCACATAGCATCATAATATTGATAAACCCAAAATATAAAACAAAACATTAAAATCAAGATGTATCTCGCTACATTGCACGAGTACTCTTCTAATATATGTAAATATATTTACTACATTATTATTATTATATAAAACAAAGTAAGAGTCCACTTGATTTATGTTGGGTGGGGGTGGGGGTGGGGGTGGGGGTGGAGGGTATTGTCTCCTTCCTAAAACACAAATTACAAGTACAAGCCCATTGGATCTCACTCAATTGATTGCACTAAACGTTCTTTTGTCCTAATCAACATGGTGTTTCATTATTCTTTAATCATGCATTAACACTTCTAAACTATATTCCACAATTTTTCATTTACTTTTAATAACACGATTTAATATTATAAGTGAACTGATATGCATCAAGGCACTCAGGGACGGACACATAAAATTTACATAAATATCCTCTTATTTATATATGTTTAAGTAAATACTTGTCCTAAAAAGTAAATTGTGAGCAGAAGTTTGAAAAGCATGAATGACGTAAACAACATGACTATGTCTGTATTTATACAGATAAATAAGAAAAACCCTTTGAAAATATATGAAATTTATCGTAAATATGTTTGTGTATTCAATAAAGTAACGTGTTTATTTTAGAACCTTTAAAAAACTTGGCATTTATAAACGAGAAAAGAGAAGAAATTGATATGAATAAATAAAGTTTCAAGTAGGTAATTGAGGTTTGGTACTACATCAAATTTTATTTTTGAAGTTTGAGAGGGAGCCGATGCCACTTCTAGCACTAAGGTGGCTCTACTGATGAAGCCAACACGAGGCATTGGGCGGTCGACGATAGTGATGCAAAGGAGTACATCTTAGCACTCATGACCTTTTAGGACATAGAGATTTGACATGTCTATACACTAGTACAGTGTGGGGACGAGTATAGTGATGCGTTTGAGATGCATTATCATGTGCACAAGCTCTCATGCACAAAAGGGACTTGATGATATAGAATTGTATGCAAATAAGGTACAAGTTGAGAGTTCATATCATGTACACCTCGTCGAGTCTCTTTCATATACAATTTTTTTTACATTCTTCAGTTTTAAGTCATTCATAGAGAAACCCTCAACTCCGCATGATATTGTTGGTGATTATAGACCAAATGACATAGTTGTTCCCACAATTAATATATTTGTGGAGATGATACTTATTTAAGCGACATGATGAGGTGTAGACTATTCATAATCATTAAAAGTCGTAGCTAGTACACCTACTTCGGACATATGCTCATGCCCAAACAACTTGTACATCTCAAAGGACGTTTTCACTTTTCCTTCAAGGCTGGGTAGTACTCCTCAAATAGAAGCTACAACAGTTGTTCCTCTTGTAAGCACTAGAAAATATCTTTGTCCTTCGAATGGACTATATGTTGGTGATTTTAGTGTGTCAACCATTTTGGTGTAGTTGTGACCTACACGAGATTGATTGGGTTCAAAAAGTTAGAGTCAAGGGGATCACTCTGCCTTGTGGGGTCTAGGGCATTGTTTCACGAATATAAGTTAGCTTATTTTTTGAGTACATATTTGGAGGACATAAGCTAGCTTATTGAAATGCTAGTTGGAGTAGCGTTTTAAGAGCTTACTGTCATTTTTTCTAATTAGAGCACTCATTAATATTAATTATTATTATTATTGTTACTTATAATTCA